TACTCGGGAGCTGCTCATGGCCTCTGAAATAGCTCCTGCAGGCTGGGCTTCTATATGTCAACGGAAAAGAAGCCATAGTCTGTAAGCTAATTTAAGGATGTTTAGTCTGAGCCAAACTTGAGGACCATGACCTGGGCCACACTCAAGAAGCCTTGAGCAAGGGACTCACAGTGGTGGGGTTACAGTTTGGGTTTATACATTTTAGGGTGACAGGAATTATAGGTGAAGTCATATATCAATACATGAAAACATATTGGTTTGGTCCCAAAAGGTAGGACATCTGGAAGGGGGGGGCATAATTGGCTGAAAGTGTTAGGCTTTGTGTAAAAGACCTAGAGTCAAGCATTCCTGAAAAGGAATGCTTAAGGTTAAAGGATCTGTTAATTAGAGACAATGCCTATTATGTATATGTCTCTTATGTACATTGCAACCTAGAAGAAGTAGGTCTTGCATAGCCTTAGGCCTGTTAATGAGTCGGGAAGTACATCTCTAAGAGGGGAAGGGGCATGATGAGGCCTGTCGGGTCTTCTTTTTCATGGCTAACAACTCAGTTTTAGGGATCCCCTTGGCTAGGAGGGTGTCCAGTCAGTCACTGGGGGAGAGCTTAAGATTTTATTTTAGTTCACATGCCCAGGTACTCCAGAACTGAATTAGCTGTCTCCCAGCGTGGACAACTTGTTCAGCCAATTGGCCAAACACTGCAAAAGATGAATCATTCATCCACTCGGTAGATAACCTGCCTGCAACTACTGTAGGTGCTGGAATATTCGAAGGTGACAGAACTCTTTGCCTTTAGGAAGTTTATAACATATGGAGAAGGAAGTCAAACTAGTTCCCAAGATAGGCCCTAACTTTGTCAAGGAACTGAAGACTTCACCATGAGAGTAGTTAGAAACATCTGGACTGTGGAGCCAGGCTGACCTGGGGCTTAATTTTTGTTTCTGCCATTTTCTTGCTTTGTGGTTGAGTAGGTCTCTTCATCTGCAAAATGGTGTAGATGATGGTGTATCAGCCTCAGTTGCTCTGAGGACACTTGGCATGGTGCCTGGGCCACAGTAAGTACTTTTTAAAAATGGCATCTATTACTGTTACTTTTGGGCCATGCTAAACCTTAAGTGAATCCTCTTGATATGAGATCTAGCAGACAGAAGAAACTGTCTTAAATTTTATTCCATCTTTTTCCTGCTTTGCCTTGGTTAAGTGTTTGGAACAGGCATCCTCAAACTACGGCCCGTGGGCTACATGCGCCCCGCCTAGGACATTTATCCGGCCTGCCGGTGTTTTTGCCACCGCTGCCTGTCCTGCTTAGCAGCTGACTCGACCTGGGGCCCTCAGTCTGGCCCTCCAATGGTCTGAGGGACAGTGAACTGGCCCCCTGTAAAAAGTTTGAGGACCCCTGGTTTGGAACATGACTTCACTTCAGGGACTTTTTCTTTGAAAAAGCTGATGTCTGTCTCAGCTATGTTTCTTTCACTTGATAGCTGGGGAAGGAGAGGGCTTGGACTCCAGTGGTGAGCTTGGGTCCTGCTGTCCTTCTGCCCCCAGGTCTATTCACAGGTTGAGGTCAAAATTCTCTTGAGGTGTTAATCTTGACCCTGCAGTGAACTGAAACTGAAGTTTAAATGGTATAGAATTACTTTAGGTGATTCACAGGCAGAATCTGTGAGAATCACTGCTTTAAAGAATTTATTTGATGGGTATCTATTTTGTAGATTTAGGTAAGGCATTGTGCTAACTGTAGGGAACATACGAGCCTTCTGTCTTCAAGTGTTTAATTCCCTTTAGGTACTGTAGGCATGTATACATATTTTACAGTAAAAGGCAGGGACTATGTACTGTCACAACAAACAATCATTAGCTATCATTTATTGACTATTTACTGTGTGCTACTGTGCTGAGCATTTTAGATACCATCTCCTTTAAATTGCGTGGCAATCCCATGAGGAAGGTACTATTTTCTTTGTTTTTTGAGTAATGGAGTCTTACTGTGTTGCCCATGATCATAGCTCACTATAACTTCAAACTCAAGTGATCTTCTTGCCTTAGCCTCCCTAGCAGCTGGGACTATAGGCATGCACTATCATGTCTGCAGTTTTTGGCTGGGGCCAGGTTTGAACCTGCTACCTCTGGCATATGAGTCTGGCGCCCTACTCCTTTGAGCCACCAGCGCGCCCCCCCCCCCCATTTTTTTTAAGAGACAGGGTCTTTCTGTGTTGCCCAGGCTGGTCTCAAACTCCTAGCCTCAAGTCATCTTCCTGCCTTGGCCTCCCAGAGTGCTGGGATTATAGGCATGAACCACTGTGCTGGTGTCTTTACTTTATAGTTGAGGAAACTGGGGCTCAAAGAGTTCAAAGACATGTAACTGATAAGGGTGAAGCTAGAGATCCCTATCAGGAAAGGGGCAGATAAAAGCTCTCTGTTCTAGAAGGGGAGGAAGCAGTAGCTTCTGTTTTAAGGGGATGGGAGATAAAAAGATCAAAGAAGTCTTTATGAAAGGTAGCATTTGAATTGGGACTCAAGGGTGATAGGATTTTGAGATGTGAAACATGGAGAAGAAAGCTTTGTGGCACAGTGAGGGCAATATAGGAGTTGATAATCTGATTCCTTTTCTTTGTCTTGTATGCTTCACTTAGTATGGAGTCAGTGGGTGGGAAGATGATTACTTGTTCTTTGGATCTCACTGAGACATATGACTTCCACATGACTTAAATGTGACTGTAGTTAGGAAAAGTTCACTCTAGAGCAGCGGTTCTCAACCTGTGGATTGCAACCCACAGGAACTGTATTAAAGGGTTGTGGCATTAGGAAGGTTGAGAACCACTACTCTAGAGTGACAGCAGAGTGTTGAGTCCTCAGAAAGGTGGAGAGGTAGTAGGGGCTGGCACAGTGAGAGGAGGTTTTCTGGAGGAGAAGGAAATTTAGATAAGTCTTGAAGAATGGATAAGATTTTGAGAGATGTGAGTGGACTTTGGAATGATAACATCAGAAATATAACCCTGAGAATTAGCCTTTTTTTTTTTTTTTTTTTTTT